TTTTATTTACTTTTTCTTCAATGCAGGATCCATCAAGTCTTGACAAATTTAATCTTGCAAATTTCCATCATCTAAAGAACAATTTGAAAGTGGTTAATGAAGGTAAGCCTGCATTTACTCCTGGCTTGGTAATGTAATGACTTCTATCAGACCGTGAGCTACTTCTAACTGTCTGTCCAGTGCACGATCAACAGAAAGACATGGCCTTTTTTCCTACCTTGTTTTTTTGAGACCACTTGCGATAATGGTCTTGTAACAATAGTTGTAATGATGACCACTGTGACAGATGATTAAGGTGATGATGCTGCTAGTGTTGATTATGAATTGGATTTTGTATTGCTTTAGATTTAGATGTCATCAGCTTAATATATTTGTCTTTTATATTTGTCCATCCCTAGAGGAGGAAAAAGCCAAGAAGGATCCAAAGTACTACTTGAACAGGGCTAACAAAGACACCCTTGGTATTCTGAGTGAACTAGAAAAAACTTATAAAGAACCTGTAAGTCATCTGTATGTCATTTTGTAGTCAGCTGTTTTACTTTACTACAATTCTATGTTAACTGTTGTTTGCTTGTAGAGAAATGCAGTTTGCACTTTTTTGGTATCAAATACATTTTGCGCTTCATAGACTTATATAATTAATTATTATTTTCAGGAGAAAAAGAGCTCAGAGAAAACAAGTGAATCACTTACAGAGAGAAATGCTGTAAGTTTGCTTGAAGTGTTTCCATATTACCCTTTAATAACAGCAAATCAACATAATTATTCTCTATGTGCTTCTTTAACAAGGGTTGGCATAGAGCCACCTGCTTTGACAATTTGAGATTCCTCTGCTCTGAGAGTACATTTACATGACTGTACATATCTGTTCAGACCATGCAGAAAGGTGAATTTTGATATGCTAATTACAATCCAGTAAGAAAAACTTGGGTTGTCAAACTTGGTTCTGAGTCACAGCAACTCAAAGTAAAAATTAAGAGTGTTTTTTAAAGAGGGTCAAGTGTTGCTGTAGTAACTTCAGAAGTTAAAAATACAATCACAACTTAGTGAAGAACAACTGCTCATTTTTAATGCTAATTCCAAGGAACACTTGAAAAAGTGAAGTTATAGTGATCCATCAACAAATTGCTTTTTCAGTTTTGCTGAAACAGATTGTCATCCAAACTCTGACAATTCAAACCGAGTTTCAACCCTCAGAAGGAGGGTACATTTATGATTGTGTATTAAAGACTTAAAGTTGTATTTCAAAAAGACTTAAGTAATATTTTGTATTGTGAATGATTATTTCTAACTTTTCTTAGTGGTGTCATGCAGGCTCATTATTCTACTGGTGCTGTAGCCAGCTCATTCACATCCACTGCACAAATACCTGTCACTCAACAGGAGGCAGGTATGTTCTCTTAATATGTACTTCCTTTTTCATTCTTGTATGCTAGATGATACCACTTATCCATCGTCTATCTATTTCTTGTATTTATTCTTTAACCCTTTAGCAATTAAGAGTGACTAGCATCTAATTTCTCCCTATCATCCCTGAATCAAACATGTGATTCATGAGAATAGAGGAGATGATCACCATCTTAAGCAGCTCTTGATTGTGAAACAAATTCTCCTTGTCAGCCTCTTTGGAAATGTTTGGGGAACAGTAGGGAGAATATGCATACTGTTCCTTTCCCTTACTCTCTTTCTCCCAACTTAACCCTCAAAACATAAAGAGTGACTGGGTGGTTTTATTCTTTGTGGGTCACTATGCAAATGTCTGTACTGGGTCAGTGGTAATTGGATCACCCCTAGAAAGGCAGTTTCTTTTTTTTTTTTCCTTTTTTTTTTTTGACTGCTAAAGAAATACATTCTCTAGTATATTATTATACAAGCTGGCTGTGATTCTTCTGATTTTTTTTATTGCTAAATTTACTTCTAGCTATTGTTGATCAGGATATAGTGAGATACAGAGAAGTGAAAAAGAAAGGTATGGTCAGAACCTGTGTCTAGAACTTTTGTTGTTTTCTCATGCTGGTGAGAAATTTGATGTATGTTGAGACACGAAGTAGAGATATGATTTGTAGTCACCAGTTCAGTTTTTTTTTTTTTGTCAAGGTTATGTAAGACTGCAGACAAATCATGGTGATCTTAACTTGGAACTTCACTGTGAAATGGTAAGGAGTGCTAACATTCTGAATTTCTTAGTTTACTTGATTGGCTGATTCAGAGAGTCTCTCAATCAATCATTCTTTAATTTATTGTTTGCACACATTTCCTCATAAATGAACTTGTGATGCGTGTGTACTTGTTTTGATCAATTAGTCTTCTTATTTTTTAGGTTTCAAAGACGTGTGAGAATTTTATAAAACTCTGTGCTTCTGGCTACTATGACAACACAAGTGAGTTCACGGATCTTTTGTTTACCAATATTCAGACAGATTTGTTTGCATCTTATCTTTTTGCACTAGAATTGAGAGGGAAATTATACTAAGTTTAGGTGTCAAAGGTTGAATATTGGACATGACAGCATGACAGCGTGACAAATATTTTTTTCTAAAAATCTGAAGAAGTGTCAAGCTTGCAATATTTATATCTGATTTTTTTTTGTGTGTGGATTGTTCATTTAGCTTTGATATTGTCCATTAAGTCTGTATAGCATGCTGGTAATAATTATTTTTTCTTTGTTAGTCTTTCACAGATCTATCAAGAACTTTATGGTAAGTGATTCCATAATACTGAAAGGTTCCCTCTCGATCACAATACTAATTGTCACTTCATGTGGATTGTTACTTATGGTAAAAATTGCTTTTGAAAGCTTTTAAACTTTTTTTTTTAATCGTAACGTTGTCTTTTCCTTCAAATGGTTTTTCCCTTTAGATTCAAGGAGGAGATCCTACTGGAACAGGGCGAGGTAAAGCTTTTGACTGACGCTCTCTTTTACCAAATACCGCCAGAAACCGGGCACCCTGTCATATCATATTTCTTCCAGAATTTTTTGTTGTTTTTTTTTTTTCATATTATTTCTATTCAAGGTTTGGTCCTGTCGATGATGTGCCCAGGTTTTTCAACATTTAGTTAAAAACTGCTCTAATGACTGTATTGATCAAAAGTTATTACGAATACATGGTTTTGTGCTTTACTTTGGTTGGCAGGTGGTGAGTCGGCCTGGGGAGAGCCATTCAGAGACGAGTTCAAACCGAATTTGATACATCAAGGTGAGAATGTTGAAGACGTGATATTTCTGCGGCATAAGGCCAGTTGGAGAAAATTGTCAAGGCGCCGTCATCTTCAACGAAAATGTTTCGTGGATATAAAATTTGACACTGAAAGCAGTTGTCTTTTTTCTTCAGGGAGAGGCATTCTAAGTATGGCAAATTCAGGACCGAATACAAATAAATCCCAGTTGTAAGTATCACTCCTTGAGAAACTTCCACCTGTTGTTTCTTGTTAGGAAATCGTGAAACACTGATTAGAAAGCTCGCAACCTTTTTGTTAACATACCATTCAACAATTGAAAAAAGGTACTTTTTTTTAAAAAAAATCAGAAGTCCCATATTCTGATTAGTTATTTTAATCTTAGCCTTTTCTTCTCTCTTGAAGCTTTATTACGTATCGCTCCTGTCGTCATTTGGATGAAAAACATTCCGTGTTTGGCAGGTAATAATGTTATTAATTTTATCCCCTTGTGTTTTTTTGTTGTTGTTGTTGTTATTTTTTTCATATCAGAGGTTTATGTCTCAAGAAATTAAGGACTTTGACGTTATATACCACGGTAGACACTGATCCAATTGTGTTTTTAGTTGACTATCAATTTACTGTTGTTTTTTCTGTCTTCAGATTGGTTGGTGGGCTCGAAACATTAAGCGCTTTGGAAAGAGTAGAAACTGACGAAAAAGATCGACCAAAGGTATTAGTGGAAAAAAGAAAAAAACGCATTAACAAAGTTTAAGAGGGTTGGTTCATGCTTCAATGATAAACACGGCTGCTGACTGCTGAACGAAGTTACTCGACTTCGTTCCATATAGCATCAAAATGTTGACATTTAGTCTACACGGTTAGTCTATCACCCTTGTATAATGTATGCACCCCCTATATTATTCATTCTTTGTATTTTCTTTTTAGGAAGTGATCAAGCTAATCAAAGCCACTGTGTTTGTGAATCCTTTCGAAGAAGTTGACGCTGTGGTTAGTATAATTCTTTTACTTTTTGATTGAACAATCCAGTGATTTCCCTTATTTTAAGCATGCCAGGGTAAAATGAATTTTAAAACCAGTAGAGCAATCCTTTTACCTGACGAATTTTAAGTAAGTCCAAGCGATATAAAGCATTGATAGGAGGGAAAAAAAATTGTAAAGCAGTGTCCAAGTTTGGACACTAGTGTCCGATTATAGACTCTCGTGTCCGATTTTGGACACTGGTGTCCGATTTCGGTAACTAATGTCCGATTTATATATTTGTGTCCGACATATGTATTTGTGCCTACGTTGTTCCAAGGCTCTCTCTTCCTCCCGCAGGCTTGATAGAGTTATGTGATATCAATAAAAAATGAAACTAGCAAATCGTTTTTTTATTTTTTTTTAGCTTCAAAAAGAGCGAGAGAAAAAGGAAGAAGAAGAAAAACAGCAGGTAAATTTGGGAAGTGACGCAAGGGTATTTTTTCCGTTAATGATTGTTTTAGTCAATTCTGTTTCCAAGTTTCCAATTTGGTCGAAGTAATCCAATAAACGCACGTGTAACTTCAAGCCTTACTAGAACACTTGGGATTCTGGGACGGGCGTAGACTTTCTGCTCTCCTATTTTCTGCTGGCTGTTGTCCTTCAACCGAAAGGCACAGTGAAAAAAAGCTTTTAAACCTTAAGATGTGGAAATTCGTCGTCGAGAGAATACAGTTTGAGCTGGGTTGAATATCTTTTATCAACTTTGATGTTCCAGGCGTTCAGCCTGTTAAGTGGTGCGAAATCCGCGTGAAATGGTAAACGGCGCGACAGTAGTAGGGGAGGTGTTGGTTCGGTCGTGTAAGGGACCCGGTTCTGTACGGCAGGAACAACTTAGCCCTTTTAAGTCCCAAGATCTGAGTACTAATTCTCCCCTCTAGCTGCTACATATCTTCCTGTAATTTAGTTACGAGAACTTCGTGTTGGATCAAGATGACAACTTCCACCTGATGAGTTTGAGTATTCTCATCACCAGTTTGCTAGATAATTTATGGTTATTATGGATAGAAGTTACATTTTAATCACTTCTGTGCGTTAAGGGTTATTACTGATCAACACAGCTGTGTCTCTTCAGTATACAGAGTTGTTTAAGCTTTTCGGTATGAAATTTTCTCAGATTTGTGCTACAAATGGGCGGTAGATGCTCGTTAAGTAGTGAGACAGCTGTTGATGATAAATGGATACTGATTGTAAAACCTCCTGAACAGTGAGATAAAAGTGAACCTTCGTTGGGTGATCTTTGTACAGTGCGTGAGCAATATGTGATTCGAATTAGTTCATGTAAAATTTCCTTCATTTTCCGCGTTTTCAGGAAGAAGCCGCCCGCAAAAAGAAAGCGGCTGCCACGCCAGCAGAGGCACCAAAGGTTTACCGGTCAGGAGTTGGAAAATATATTAAACAGAAGCCAGCGTCAAGGTATGATGGGATATATCCGTTTAACCATTTTTTTCGGAAAATTAAGTAGTTTTTCATTTGCTAAAACCTCTGAAGGCTCCTTGGGCGTGCAAGGTTATGTCTTCCAGCGTAAAATTAGAGTGCAATTTATTTGCTTTGTTTTTTTTTCTACAATTCTTTGTCTAAGGGGGGGGGGATTCCCAGGATCCCTGGAGTTAGCTTTCGCTTGTATTTTTCTTGCACGAGATGCTGCCGTTGCCGTTCTTTTTCTTTAATCTTTTGGCCCAACTTTTTCAGGGATGCTGAAACTGCTGACCTCGCACCGCAACAATCGAAAAAGAAAATTAAAGTATCTGGCGGATTCAAAGATTTCAGCTCCTGGTGACACAAGAATGGCTTGAAATTCCGATCAAAATGTTCCACTCATTCGTCCGTAAATTAAAAGAAACATACTAGAGAACTACCCTAGTTTTGAGAACTCTCCTGCTGCTCTCGGAAGGTCAGGGAATCCTGGAAATCGTCATGTTTTCGCAGTCTTTTCCTACAAACCTGTGCCAAGCAAGAACATAATCCGGAAGTGAAACTTAACCGCGTCTATTATGCGGGTTACTTCGATCGCCACAGTGCCAGCTCTATTAAGTTGACATTGCCAACCATCAATGCGGCTATTTCGCCTACAGAGAAATAACAACCACAAGTAAATTGTAGCATTATTCTGTCAAAGGCGAAAGAAAATGCTTGCGAGGGCTCTTCAACAGCAAAACATTCTTAGCAGCCAAATTTAACTTGAGGTTATGAAAGGTTTGACGGTCTATAATCTCAAACAAATAGTCGTGGCTTTTTTTGATAGGATGTATGGACCAAGCTCGAAGTAAACTGCTATCAACGTCTATTCGCGTTGAACAACTGTGGACAATATTTTTTCTGTACATCTTGCGAAGTTGATGAATAACTTTTGTAAATCGTGAACACTTAGGCTGTGCAAAGCTATGAGTAATAGTGCTCTTACTATTCGCCTTGTAAATATAATTTATATTACGATTATTATTATTATTTTTTTAATTTTTTTAGTATTATTATTATTATCATCAAATTTGTATTCTATGGTATGACAAGTATTCCTTTTAGATTCATCACACGAGTCGTACCAGGTCATAAGCTAACTGGTCATCATTCAAAGGATCTTGCAAGAAAGTAACCATATGTCTCCATAAATCTTTTTTATTTCGTTTGGCTAGCATGCCAAGAAAGCGACCTCCGGGAAAGATGATGTTGCAGTCCGTACTGCTGGTTATTTTCTCACAATCCTCTGTCCGTCTTTTCACGTGTAGTCTGATTCGAAGCGAAGAAGCCGATTTCAGGCTAAGATTTATGAAAATATACTCTTCTATCAGACATTTTCGAGATATTTTTCGGCTGAGTAGGCGCGATTGTTCGTAAAATGCTTTCTAGACGCGTCTTAAACGCAGTATGTGCCTGGACATAACCCGTGCAAGCTTTCAGTCACCTCAATACCCTTCATGCTGCTTCTCAGTACCGTGAGTCACTCGTAAGCTCATCCATAGGCTTATATTTTTTAAATAAACAACCTTTACAAAATTTCAACGAAACATTGGCTGTGTCGAAGCGCTTCATGGCACAAGTCAGCAAAAGGAGTATCATGATTTCACCTCAATTCATATTTCGTGATCAAGCGGCCAACATCAAAGTTACGTATGTCACGTCCTCTGAGCCACAAAATGCAAATTTTGGAGAACGTGGTATTGATTAATATAATCTCGTGACTGAATCTGAATTTATTTACACAGAGCCGTGTAGTTGACAACTTCATTTATTCCGGGGAAGCGTGGGATAACGAGAAATGATAGCATTAAAACTATTGTAGGAATAAAAATGGCGTTTAAAGAATCACAGATATTTGCTGTTACAGAAAATAAGTACAATATAGTGTCCAAAAAAAAAAAAACGAAACGAAACGCTGATTAACGAAGATATTGCCCTTAGTTCCTTTGAATGTCACTCTGTTAACATAAGAAATACTTTAAGAGTGAAGAATAGTGTAATCCTAATGAAATTATTTTACTTTTTAGGCCAGGAAAGCTATGATCACTGTTGCGTGCAAGAGTGACTCTTTTTAAGTGGATTCATCTTTTGAATCACGCTGAAAGTCACGCGCTCGTCACAGCGGAAAATGTCACAAAGACACGAGCCGTTTTCGAACAATTTTTATTAACTTTCTTGTCAAACTTATTTTTATCTGAACTCTTTTTAAAAGTATAGGTTAAAAATCAGGGAAATTAGTAGAGTATTAAGACACGTAATGAAATAAACGCGAAAGCAGTTTCGTGATGAAAAATCGTGTCGGTTTCGTGAGAATCTTAGTCAAACATCACAATTTTGAAAGGATTTCTTTTATATGTAAATTAGTCTTTTACCTTAAATATATGGCTCTAAGCAATAAAATTGTCAGTTTACCTCACGCATGAGCGAGTCAACCTCGTCCGACTTCTTGCATCGACTTCCGAAAAAACCATGGAACAAAAGTTGACGGTAAAATAGTACATTTGTTGTCAAATAATTATTTGGGTAAAGCACAGAAATACGTTGTATAAATCATAGTATTTCTTCAAATTTCAAACTGAATACTTGGAGCGTTTCCTCCAACATTGATTTTGCAAATTTGGCTTTAAATAATTCTGAATTTTGCCTTTCTAAAGTGACTCGGAAATTTTTTATGAATATCAACTCTTCTTTCATCTATCTGGTTCCTAATTGTGCTGCTAAAAAAAGCTTGACATTGTTGAAGGTTGAAGTGTGCACAATTTTTACTGTTTTCAAAATGTTTCTCGTTACATTACAAAGCTTTATATGCGTTAGACTTAATCAAAGCAGTCGACCATTATGGTCAGAAAAACATGTTATTTTAAAAAATGAAAATAATCAAATTTGGACCCCTGGTTCTGCACTTCAAAAAGAAATACGAAGCGAAATCGAAGCCGTGTATTACACAAAAATTAATACAATTTTTTTGTTGCCATTTCTCAGCTCCCGACGATAATTTCCCTCAATGTTGGCGGACATTTCTTCACCACTCGCCTCTCCACGCTTTTGAAAGACGAAGATTCCATGTTAGCTGCAATGTTCAGTGGGCGATACAAACTTGAATTGGACAAAGAAGGAAGATATTTTATTGATCGCGATGGAAAATACTTTGGTTATATCTTAAATTACTTGCGTGACGCGTCACTTCCAAAACACTGCGTTGCGCTACAAGTGTATCGCGAGGCGGACTATTTCCAGTTAGAGCAACTTATTCGTGAGCTTGCATCCTATCCATCTGTGATCCCACATATTGCAATAGAGGAACAAAAAAGAGACTTAGCAGAAAGTTATCACCACTGGAAAAGCGTCCTTTTAGAAACTACGCGACGAAAATTTCACAAATTTGTCAAATTCGTCGTTGGTCGTGATTGCGTGATAACTGTCACGCGATACGCTTCTGAAAAGGATTACAACCTTAGTGAAGATACCTGCAGAAGTTTTATCTCACTTAGTGATGGTAATGAAAATTGTCAAAGCCATCAGTTCTTTAGCGTGAACGACTCTGGAGAGAAATTAGAGTATTACATCGGTTCCCATCTTCCATCGATTGATTTTATTGTTCCGAATGAGGATATTCCAGACTGTCATCAGTTCACGTCACTGGTTGAAAAAGATCTGCGCCTAGAAGGGTTCTGTGTCAGCGGAAGTTTGACGCATGCGTGGAAGTGTGGTCTGTGTGATATGACAGGAACTCTTCACCAGTTAGCTTTCATGTGGGTTCTTCCATATCCAAACACGAATAGCGAGGAAATAATGAAGAAGTTTTAAAGAATATTTATCTATAATAACTTTAAGAACAACATTTTAAGTTTTGCAAACAAGAACGTCGTCAGAGCACTAGACCATATTACTTTTGGTGATTTTGGTGACTAGTATAGAAAGTTTTGAAAGCTTCTTTGTATAAATTTGCAAGTTGTAATTTGAATATTTTGATATAAGCTTTAAATCTCCGACCTAAACAATGTTAGCAATTCTCAAAAAAATCTAGCAAGACTTATATTCCCGGACCAATTTTCTGTTGCAAGTGGGGACCGCATCCCTGTCCCCGCAGCTGGTGCCGAACGCGCTCAAACTTGCCCGGACTGTTGTTCAACCAGAGGTGAAAACCATGTTTCTCCAGGTAGGGGTCGGGTTATTGGAATGATGTGGAAAAATATCTGAATCTTCGAAATATTCTTCAATATAAAGCGAAATTAAAGTTGATAAGTTGTGTTTGCAGGTTTTGAAAATGTTATCGCGTTTCAAAGCTTTTTTGCTTTCATTTCTCCAATTTTCGTTTTGCCTTACCCCTCCCCTGTAAATGAAACATTTCCGACGCGTCAGCGCGCGATTTATAAACTAATGTTAATTTCATGAAACCGACATAACTTCGAAACGACAATATGGCAAAGGCAACGAGCGTTTGTTCTCGACGTAAACTTGTAATTTTTGCCAGCGAATTAGCCAGCGCAATTGGACGGCATAGATATCAATCCAGAGAAGAAACATTTCAGCGAGTCTGGCTTCGATCGCATGAGCAATCATTCGTTTTTGCGAATGCTTTGAGGTTTCAAAGCGACGTTCGTCCAATCTTGGCAGTTTCTGAAGAATTGTTGATTCAGTTTCCATCTTTGGAAAAAGAAGACGACCCCGTCGATTTTGCTTCCGCTGTTAGAAGGGTAATCTGCGACATTTCTTTCAGAAGATTGTACGGGCAAATTCTGAATTTTCTGAAAGCAAAGTTGTTGAAGAACGAGAAAGAAGAACAAATCCTCGAGTCAGCAAAAGTGATCAAACGTGTTACAACCGAGGTGAAGACACTTTGTGAGAACGAAAAAAAACTCGTGGAATCTGCCGTGAAAGAGATTTGTGACAAACAAGGGATCAACACGAAGGAAGTTGTCAAAGCAGTGGAGTCCAAAATTACCAAGGATCGCGGAACAAAATTGGAGGAAAAAGCTGTGCAAGATTTTGAGAAAGTGAAAGGGATCGAGATCGAACGTCCGATCGCACCTCATCTGTTCTACCAGGATATGGAGTACAACGGATTACAGTGGAGTGTATGCGGTAAAGTGGATGCCGAGACAGAAGATAGCGTTATTGAAGTTAAAAACAGAAGAAACCGATTTATGTGCCCAGAGTATGATTACATACAGCTTCAAACATACCTATTCTTAAGGGGTAAGTCTAAGGGTGTCTTACTGGAGAGATTGAAAGGTGAAAACAAAGAAACCTGCTTTGAATTTGATCATGAGCACTGGGAAGAAGTGACCATTGACTTGGCTGAGTTTGTTGCTGAATTGTCACATGCCATGAACATGAGTAAACAGGCCTTGTATGGGTATACATCACCAAAGAAACGAGGGCATGATCAAGTGGCTGTGGTTAACGAACAAGCTTGTAACCAGGACACAGATGAGGGGCAAGTGAAGAAGACTGCTGTGGAAAAAGTGGAAGAGACTACCACAGTTATCGAAATACAGGATAATAATGAATAGAGACATTTGAGAAAACAGACCTCCCTCCTTATAACAAATTTCTAAGTCATCTGAGTAAAAGTTGAACTGTGTTACATAGTGTACCACATCCAAAGAACCTACTTCATCATCTCAATTTTACACACTCTGGCTTCTGCTCAATAGGGCACTTTCCTTAGAGTGTGATTCACCTGATGACTGGGTAAAAGTAAAATTGAGTGTCATTATTATAGGTTATATAATAGATTCCAGTAGGATTTTTTTTGGTTGTGATTGACCAGCCTTTCTTCATAATAAAAAAAAAAATTAAATCCATACTGATAGAATTGGTGCATACCTAAGGATAAAAAGATCCTATTAGGAATTTCTGCCAAGAATAAGTTGTTATCATTTAAATCCATCAGCTAGCATCATGGATAAACTCTATTGCAAATCTGCTAGCTTAAGACTTTTTGGTATTTTTTTTCACTAAAAATAAAAAATAAAAATAAAACATCTTTCACTTCTGAACATAATTTTATGAATTTTACAATTTTTGCGTGGAAAATTACTCAAATTAATGAGAAATCACAATGTCAATGAGAATAGTTATTTATTTCCAGACTCCACTTACACTGCAGAGATACATTAGATGTTTTAACTTATTGTTAAATAGAGACTACAACATCACAAAGTCATTACATCATAAAGTAAAAGCTATTTATTGTTAAGATTTACATGTAGGACAATTTATGTGTAATGTATTTAATTGAGAATTGAAATATAATTTTCTAGATATTCAGTTATAATCTACAGAAAAATGTGTTGCAAGAACTAAATCTTAAAAAAATAATCTTGTCTTTAATTAAATAAAATCACTTGTAGCCTTGTAGTTTACAATTTGATCAGCATGTACCAATTTTGTATTAGTAGTGTATAGTTACTCATATGTTCTAAAGAAAAAATTCTTTAGTAGGAGGGAATGCCAATCTACTAAATATTTTTCCAATAATTCTTACAGGATATGTTCTACTTCAAAGAAATGTGTATACAATTTTTAACTGTCTTTTTTACTCCCCTTCCTCACAAGATGTGCTTGACACAACTAACTCTAACAGCATACAGGATGCTTGTTACATATGAGCTCAGTTCATCATTTGTTGAGCCTTACTCAACAACAAACTCTCTGTAACTCAGTGAGAAGACGTTCTGAAGGTCAAAGGTTCATGCCATCACTGGGGACTCAGTTATTTTCTTTGGGAGATGCTTTCTGATTTATCCTCACAATATTTGTTGTTATCATATGGCAAGGTAGTCTTTCAGTAAATTTTAGAATTTTGATTGGTTCTTACTTGGTCTGGATTTTGCCATACAGATCTTTTCCAGGGAAATGGTCATAAGCTGTGAATTTTTTGGTTCTCAAAACTTCCAAATTCAAAATAAAAAAGTTTAGCCAGGGTGCCATATAATAAACTACTTACTAACCTCACTTCAGGCCATACTAGGGAATATTGGCCTTCACTCATACCCAATAGCCTACAGTACAGCCCTCAAGCTTAGTCAGTAAGAAGTTATTTTCAAGTTCCATGAATGTTTTCTGTTCTCTTCTTTAGATCTACAGGTAAATGGCCTTCTTGATTTCGGCATTTTCCTCATGATATGAGTTTAATTGGAATTACAAATTAAAGTATATTTACATACTTTTTAAACTCAGTTGAATGGAATTTCCGGACCTTATAGACCAGCCCAGTGAAACTTAGACATTATTTGATACTATTTTACATCTCTGTTGAATTAACATATCAAAACTTAGAGTCAAACTACACCATCCAACATAGTGTTTGTTTGGCTTTAGCTTAGCAACAAAACAAATAGGTCTCCATTAAAGATCTGTTTAAAATGTCCTACTTTACTTTAAAGATCAACTCAAATATGTTTAATCCTTTTTAATTAGTTCACTCCTTTCGCTTCCATTAGCAGTAGGCACAGGCTGCCCAGGATTTAAATTGCTACTGCGCAGATAGTCCCTGAGTCTTGTGGGATAATCTGTCATGACACCAGCAACCTTGAGCTTGTTAAAAGCAAAATCAAACTCACTGTCTTCATTAAGCACCCACAAGTAGGTCTGTTGAACAAAATATAATTGATGATTTAATAAAATAAAAGTGTTTGGTGTTGTGAATATTTTTTGGGTTGAAATTTACACCCTGAGGCCTGTTTTGGGTGACAAATTTGGTGAAAGAAGGAAAATTTGTAGGCTCAAAAAGTACCACCAGAGAATTTTTGATTTCACATGAAGTTTGAAGTGAAATAAGGATCTCCATATTTACCACCAATGCATTGTGTTTTTAAAGACAAGCAAACAAACCCATATTATTATATGTATATATTCAACTTAACTTCTGTTTCCAGTTTACTTTTTATTGTTGTAATGTACAGTCTTCATTTGTCAGAAATCTCTGAGTCATCTTTCAAATGTTATTAGGTTGGCAAACCTTGAGACCTGAGGTACATGGTTGGCCAGATTTCCCTTCCCACTTTTCTTAACAGTATATATATGTTATTAGATGAAATGCATTGTTAGTAGCTTTTTTCTATTTTACCCATTACATTTGGATTATGTATTGTTACAAACCTGGATTCCTCTCTTTTCCAAATGGTTGAAAAGGATTGGGCTGATTAAAAACCTAAAAACAAAAAAAAGTAAAAGTCAATTCAAGGTACACTAAGCCAAATCAGATTCGTCTATGTACCCAAACTTACTTAACATCCTGATATGTTCCCCTGTACTCACCAGTCAACTATATGACACAAGATCTTCATAGTACGAGGCACTTCAAAACGTCTGTGGTATAACAAAAGAATGAGTGAAACCAAAAACTGTCAATAATAAAAACAACTAGTGTATCGGTATTCCCATGCCAGAAATTATGAACTAAAAGGTACATGTTAATAGGTCTCCTGAAAATTCTTACCGGAAATATAGAAAGTTTGATTGCTCTTAACACCACCTTTGCTCTATGTATTTGCCGTTAACCCTTTAGCCCCTAAGAGTGATTAGAATCTAATTTCTCCCTACAATTTCACCCCTGAATCAAACATGAAAGTGATGAGAATAGAGGAGATGACCACAAACTAAAGCAGCGCATGATTGTCAAACAAATTCTCCTTGTCAACCTCTTTGGAAATGTATGAAGAACAGTAGGGAGAATATGCATACTGATGTTAGGCTGTAAAGGTTAATATCAACACTTACATGTACTTACCTGATCATCGTGACAGGTAACATGATCTCTAAGAAGGATTCCTTGATAGGAATAAATGGCAGTAAACCAGAATAAAACAAGAAGACCAGTATGGCACAACGCTTCATTGAAAACATGACTGGAATCTCTGGATCCTGATTGGAATTAAAGAAAAGTGCAGACACAAGTCAAATACAATTCGTATTCTTCAGAAACTAGTTGTGTATAGTTCTGATTGAAAGCATAGTTCCTAATTCAATAGAACAACTTGGGCATTACATCTAATTTTTAGAGTTAACTACTTAGCTTGATATCAAAAATGAAAAAGTTAGTGCTGCTGTCAGTCATAACTATAAAAAATATTTCATGGAATTTTGACAAAGTCAAAAGTTCAAATCTTACCATTAATGCTTACAAACCTTTTTGTAACATTTTTCAGTAACATCTGCAGAAAAGTTTCCCCAAACTGTTAAATCCTTTCTGTTATGCTTGGAGATCAGTTCATGAGTCTAAGAAGAGAGAATATGGCAAAGAAATCAACAAGTGAACTCAACTCAAATGATGCAGTTTCAGACTTGAGCCATTCAGTTTAGTATATTGCTCAGCCACAATTCAACAACAAAACAATTACTCCAATCTGCATTTTACAAATTGCTGCTGACATTCTTATCCCCTTTACTCCTAAAATGAAGGTTAATTCTCCCCTCTTGCTGCTACACATGTCTTTATGAATAAATAACAAGAATTTGACATTAGATCAAGAAAGCAACTTCCATTTAGTAAGTTTGAGTATTCTCATTACCTGTTTGCTGGATAATGTATGGATATTTCAAGGAGAAGTTACATGTTAATCACTTCTGGGAGTTATAGGGTTATATTGAATGTGAAAATTTAAACATTTTTAATGATTTGCTACCAAAATTGTAAAGTTAAGAACACACCAATACATTGCAAATGCAATGTTTGGGTACCAATAACTTTGGGAACCCTGTAGCACCTTGCTGTATGTCAAATTTTGAGGAATCACTAAGATATATAGACACATAGGTATCTAACCTAGCAGGGAAAAAAAAATGCAACAATGATTCCCTACCCTACACTCACCTTGTCTATTAGTAGATCAGAGTTGGTTTTGATATCCACATTTATTGGAATATTAGGAAATGCCTCAAAAACAGTGTCCAGCAGTGGAATGTGACAGTCATCGTTTTTCATATCACATGACACACCTGATGAAAAAACATACATTTTAGAACTCTGTCACAGCAATTCCAGACAGCATTTGAATGTATTTCTTTGAGTGTGGCAAACCTAATTTATGGAATTGCAATGGCTAGTCAGAACAACAAAATAGATGAAAAGGAATTGGTGAGAATTCAGAGTACTGGTAAAACAAGAAAAATGTTGAAAGTACTTGTACATTTGAGCAGATGATTAATATCAATACCAATATAAACTTGATTATTTATGTCAATTTTTTATCAGATATGTTGAGATGGTAAAATGCATGAGCCTTCTAGACCAGTCAAAGAGCAGATTACAGGCATTACTTCATAGAAATTTTCTCTGACAGTTGGTACTTTTGTAAGACATTGGGTAGCCTGCTTCAGGCATTTAGTAAGTAGAAAAAAGCTAAACTAACATCATGAGAATTGTATGGCAGACAGTAACTGCAAATAGAATTACTATTGAGATCTTGGGTAAAAAAGTAAAAAAGGTAATGTATCCATTGTATTAGGAGTCACCTGGTTGAAATTGTACAGCAAGTGTTCTGCTAAGGCAAGGTAAATCCTAAATCAAAGGATAGAAAGGAGCAAAATCTGTCATTTCATAGGTAAATAGTTTCAATTTTATGGCCGATATTCATCTACCTCAAGAGACAGAGATTGTGAGGTTGGCTAAGTGAATTTATCACTAATTGACCACTCATCTGAACTCTTACCAAAGGATGGCCATTGAAAAATCTCTTGATAATTACTCAGACTCTTGCTTTTTTTAACTTAGGAAATTGTTTCAGAATTCCTAATGATACATTTTCACTTGATCATGAGGTAAGATCATCCAGGTGGGAGTAGTCTAGGAAAAGAGTGTGTGGATGACTGATACATCAACATCCTGAATGAAAGTCAATGTTAACCCATTTCCCCCTAACAGGGACTAGTATCTAAATTCTACTTACATTATCACCCCTGAATCACACAGTAATGTCAAGTGAATAAAGGAAATGAACTAAGGAAGTTCTTGATTTGTTAAACAAATTCTCCTTGTCAACATCTTAGGAAATGTGTAGAGAACAGTGTGGAGAATATGCATGCTGATGTTAGGGTGTAAAGGGGTAAAGAGTCACTGTTAAAACCAGGAATCACTTGACGTGACAATAATATTAATGAATTCTACTTCGGTCATTAAAATTTCTGAATCAGTCATTACTACTGACAACAGTCCTTTTCAGGACTACTATCATTAACAATTTTACTACATGATCAGTTGTTCTCCTCTGATCAAACCGTTCACTGTGATGCATCATTCTCTCACAAATGATTAAAAATCAGACAAAAGCAGTATTGTATAATTTGTGGAATAAGATCAGATATGAATATTAAAGATTAAATAAATAATATTGTTACCTTGAAATTCAAGTCACAAATCTTCAAGTCTGTGTTTGTTACACGGGAAAGTTCATCATCATGACATACAACAACCTGGTTGGAATTAAAGGATGCCAAGATCTAATTCAGATTGGTTCTACATTTTCCTTTGAGTGGAGAGTACAAAATTTTCCTAAAGAAAGTTGATCTCATTGAATCACTCTCTGTTTACTTAAAACTCTGCTTTATGTTAAAATAATCAAGTTACACACTAAACAATTGGAAATTGACAATTGATACATCTATTGTCAATGATAATTATTGTAGCTACTTCTTTGTTATTAATTACTATAAAGCAAACTGCTTTCCTTCAAAAACTCTGTCTTATCTCCAATTTTACCTGTTCATCTGCTGTAAGGCGAACATCTAATTCAAGCATTTCTGTTCCCATTTTTAAGGCACTTAGGGAGAAATAAAAGCAAAATGTATTAAAGGTTTATTTTTGGGCAAGTTTCATTACAAATTGCCACCTTAAGTTACAAACAAAAGGCCAAAATGGACAAGCTGTTTGGTAGCCAAATTAAGCAAATTCATTTGATATTTTGTACAAAATCAAAAAATTTTACTTACTGATGATAGGCTGTCATCGTATTCTCTAAATTTTCTGCAGCCCCTGAAATAAACCACCCAAGAAAAAAAGTTTGTTAATTAGTAACTTTCCTAGAATTCCACCTAAAAGAAAGGATTGCAAGTGAAAGTGCAAGGCCTTTTATTTGGCAGGGAAGGGTAAGTAAACAGTTGTGCAACCAAACTTCATGTCATGTTTTGTTTGCTTTTACTAGCATGTCATGATCGCGGAGAGCTGCTCAATAACCCTTCCCCCCCTCCCCCACCAACCCGCCCCACCTCAACTTGACAACAATATTAAGAAATCGGAATATTTGGAATAGGCTACAAAATGATCAGAACTCGGGATCAGGAATGGTTTGCTACATGTACCTTATTCAGAGACTAAAAGAAAGACTTGAAAAAAGAGATAACTTGGCGACATGTAGAACGTAAAACTTATAGAAAAGTTGACCATCTTCTTTTCGGTAAACTGATAATATAATGACACATAGGGAGAGATTTGTAACATGTTCATTAATTAAGTCCGTCGAAGTTAAAGTGGAGATTCCAAAATGATCAGCATAATTGCCGACCGATCTACGGTCGCATTAATCACTAAATTCACCTCCTCTATGACTAATGTGGCGACAACGGAACTTCGTTTGTTTCCTCCTATGAACGAGCCAAGGAAGGTTTAAAAGGACTACAGAAGTTACAATGTAGGTTCCAATTATTGGCAAAGCTATTGCCCAGCCTAACATCTTGGGATCAACAAATGTCAAAGCTCCAAATCCCTGTTTTCAGGCCACCGACTTTCCGTCCTCTTTGGAAATTTTAATGAAAGAGATCGCTACGTAACCGCGCTCTTGCTGTGTCAGGATGACCAAACAGTAATCTAGTAACCAGCTGCAATCATGCTGGTCATTGTTTATGTTTATCGCCGCAGCTGGGGCGGAAGGGGGTGGAGGATTTTGGATTTGTCACGGTAAATTTTGACTGATTATCACTCATCAGCAGTTAATTAGCAGTCAGGTTTCTTTAGTCTCCGCTTTATACTAACCTGGCGATGACTGATTTCCCCTTCCGTTTCCCCTGAAAACAATGCGATCCCTAAAAATCTTCCACCACCCCTCCCCCACGATAAATAATGACGGGGCACACTCACAGACATAACAACCAAGCTTTTTTCTCACTTTTTCCTGTCTATTTTTCTTGACTATGATTAGTTTATTTCCTCCACCACTTAACCTGCTCCTCTTAAAATCATCTCTGAGAAGAGCTTTCTCGCACAAGTCACCGGAAGAAGATCTATTTTTAGAATTAGCTTATTTTTTGGTAATTTTATCTTCTAGAAGTAACAGGGCCCATCAAAGATTGATCAAAATCTATTTTTTTGGACCAGGAATAACTAGGGCAGGATGTTTTGACACGAAACCCACACATAAGTAGGCATGACCGATCACCTGTAATTTGTCGTGTTTCACTGCAGCTGCATTATTTAATGCAATTAGTTCGCTTATAATCTTTATCCCTGCAGAAAGATTATAAAATAAAGCACAGTTTAGCAGTCTTTTATGGTCTAACTCAATGTAATTAGGTCAGAGATTTGCCATCTCTTTTGCTCTGTTGCCGCATTCAACTTTGTACGCCCCCGAGGGAAAAAATGATTGTTGAGCAAAAAACTTTGTCAAACCTCGGTTCCACGCAACTCCAGTTGTAAAATTATGAAAACGAACAAATCATAGTACAGCGAGGTTACCTTTTCCTGTCTGAAAGGAAGATAGTTTAGTTAAAGCTTTCGGAGAAGTTCCAGTCACATGCCAACATAACCCGCTGATCAACCGCGTTGTCCTCCATCGAGTCAGGTTAATGAAAAAAGTGGAATCATTTGACCTTTGGTATTCGTGATTCCTGTGTTTTTCCTAGCCCAATGATTCATTATTTATTGACCATTTTTTCCGATATTCATAATTTACTTTCAACTAAACTTCGCAATTCACTTCAAGATTCCTTCTTCGTTAACCGCTCTGATTCCTGATTCATAATCTCCCGGTTCAAACTCCAATTCCTCAGACGACAGCAAAGACTGCTGCGCTTTCGATACAGATCTCCACGTGATCTCCATGTGAACTGTACATAATACATGTTCCTATCGATATGAACCTGCACCTTTCCTTAATAAATCATTCTGACACAGTTTTTAGCTTTCATTGTAATCCATTTTATTCAAGTACATATAAACTTTGCAATTAATGGTCCCACTCAATCATTGCGGGTTTCTTTTTTGCAGATTTCTCTCGTAGTCTTTCGAGACGTTCATCTGTAGACGCTGTCAGATGATAGACCATCTGCCAGCGTATAGCGGCTTACTGTCAGACTTTGTCTACTGACGGCCGGATGAAACGCTTTCATGATGATGCAAACTGCCTAAGGGCGCGGTTTGGAACAGACTATAATCAAGCCGACGCGAAAAATTGGCTTGTCAAGATTTGAAAACCCTTAACCCTTATTATATATTTGAGTGTTAAATAACTTTCAAAGGGTAACAGAAATCGTTGATGCTATGAATAGAAGCGATCGTTACAACTAGCAGGAAAAGAATTTAGGAGAACTATTTCAAAAAATGTCATTTAACAAATTATTTTAAAAATATTTTCAAGAGGAAAAAACGTCATGAGTAATGCTGAAAACATTTTGAGGAGTGATTGAGTGAGAGTGA